ATCGTAGCACTAAAAGAGTTAACTCTTTTAGCATAACGTCACATGCGGAACGGACTTAAACAATCCGCATGCTAGCCCGACTCAAACGGTAGTCGGTAAAGGCTTATCAAACCCGTTGATGGCTGAGGGTTTGCCAAAAATCCTATAAATACGAGAGTCACTGACGCATCAGCTTCATTAGTTGGTCTCGTGACCTGAGCATCCAACGACATTCAAAACCCTAGGGTCAACGTCGGTCAACGCGTAACCCTAGGTCAACGCCAGTCAACGCATTGCGAGCAAAAATTCAACGTACGACGTTCGAAACCCTAGGGTTAACGCCGGTCAACGCGTAACCCTGGGTCAACGCCAATCAATGCGTTGCAACGAAAGAATCAATACTCCAATAAGGTATACGAGTATAAACTATTCCCTCCTCTTTGTTGAGAAGTTTCTGGAGAATATTTTTCTAAAAATATTCTTAAGAATAACTTAACATAACTCCCAGGAGTGTATGAGTATAAACTAGACCTCCCCGGTCCAACTCCTTAAGAGCTTAAACTGTGTAGACTCCAAAATACTTACAAGTATAAACTGTGTTAAACGCCGGACAACGCGTCACAATGAAGATTCAAAGCCGTCAACCGATGGTCAATTTCGTGTTGAAGCAACTAACTCGAGCTAAAAAGCCAGGAAATCAAGAATCGACTTCAAATTCAAAATTCCGTCAACGGTCAGACAATAAATGCAGCACCGGAACCCTCTCAAGCATTCGACAAAGCACCGAATAGCTTGGAGGATTGAAGGAATCGAGAATAGAAGCCATTCCAAGAGCCCGTTACACCGATTGAAGGTTGGGACATTCATATCCAAAGTATTCCAGACTCTTCTATAAAAGAACGAGACTGGAAAACTTTGGAGGGGGTATCTGTAGGCATATAAAATTGCTTATAGGTCCCTTAACACGGCTCAATACGAACTAATGAGCCATCGGACGACGTATCCAAGCACGAACGTCAGTCCACAACACCGAAGCCAAGTGACACGCAACGAAGCGGATTAACAAGGCTACGAAGCTGACGAACCGCACGTGAATGACGGAATGAATCCACTCGCATGCGGATTCGAACTCAGACACCAAAGCCGATTTACTGCCTAATCGGGATCCAGACTTCCAAATCAGGAATCAAGTCAACGAATCGATTTCAGACCAATCAACCGCAACACCGAATCACGGACGAAGCGGATACAAGGACCGGAACAACCAAACGACGGACGCAAAGCCCGGAGTGGCTCGGCCAAGGCCGAGCCACCCCAGGGTGGCTCGGCATGAGCCGAGCCACCCTGAGGTGGCCGCTCAGATCTGTGCCAAATGCACAGATCTGGTTGCCTATAAATAGGCGGGGTCATTCATCATTTTGGAGGACTTTTGGTTGGAAATTTTGGAGGCGAAGCTCTGTCGGATTCAAGACTCGAAACTTAAAAAAGATTGGAGCTCTGGGACTTCGGGGACTCACTCTTCCAGATCTGGTGCTCGGCGATCGTCAACGCCAAAAAAGGCAGGTGTTTCGAGAGGACCGGATCTCAGATCTACGCAGACGTACTCCGGATCTAAGCTTGGTCTTAGATCCCGAGACTTGGACGATTGTTTCCTTGGTGAATCAATCCTCCCCGGCTATTATTTCCTTCGTGGAATAATACCCGTCGTACTGCTCAGATCCGACCGGATCTAGATCTCGCGGTGGTCCACGGATAAACCCCGGCGCAGGCAAAGAACCCACAAAGCAAGAGACCGCAAAACAGGATCTTGCGATTCGTTCGACAAACAAGGAGAAAGTTGTAATCTTTTTCTTTATTTTTGATTTTTATTGTAACCGGATCTTATAAAAAGACCGGATCTTTGTAACCGATAAACTGTTAACAAAGTAATCAATGGAATCAATTACAAAGAAAGACACGATTTTCACCGCGAACAATCACACCTCTAATAGTCAAACCCTCCCCAATGAACTTGTTAATCCTTTTTCAACAAGAATAGCAAGTTTTCATTATAAAATCCCCAGTGGATTAAAGATTTTCTGGAATTATCCTAGTGATAATAAAGAAAATTTCTGAATTTTACTCTAAGTGAAAACTCATGCCAAGTTAATATTACACCTCTGGCACTTCTAATTTTCTTTCAGTGTTTCGAATAACACAGGAAGAAACAGTGACAAAGTCTACGCATTCAATATCGTAGCCAGTGATTATCATTAATAATCTCTGAATCCATACATTGCATGTATGGGGAATTTTATCCCGAATCCTAAGAAGGGATAAGTCAACGCCTAATACGCGTTGCCGGTGAGTCTTTGACCGTAAAAAGGACAAAAGTCTACGTATTCAACATCGTAGTAGGTCGTTATTAATAACGCCGAAATCCATACCTCACACGCATGGAGGACTTTATCTCGATCCCTGATTAGAGATAAGTCTGCATCTAACACATGCTGCTGGGTAGCGCATTCCCGCAATAATGGCAAAGCCCACGTATTCAACATCGTGGCAGGTTGTTATTAATAACACCAAAATCCATGCTTCACACGCATGGGGGACTTTATCTCGATCCTTAATTAAAGATAAGCCTACGCCTAACACGCGTTGCCGGTGAGTCTTTGACCGTAAAAAGGACAAAAGTCTACGTATTCAACATCGTAGCAGATCGTTATTAATAACGCCAAAATCCATGCCTTATACGCATGGGGAACATTATCCCAATTCCTAAGCAGGGATAAGCCTATGCCTAACACGCATCGCCGGTTAGTCTTTTTCCGTAAAAATGACAAAGTCTATGTATTCAAAATCATAGCATCAAGTCTAAGAGAGTTCATTCTCTTAGCACAACGTTACATGTGGAACGGACTTAGACAATCCACATGCTAGCCCGATTCAAACGGTAGTCGGTAAAGACTTATCAAATCCGTTGATGGCTTGCCAAAAATCCTATGCATGTTTTCAGGCCCACCAGCTTAATGGACGTGAGCCAAGACTTGAAACGAATAAGCTGAAGACAAGTCTCAAAGACTTAGTCAAAAACGCATGAAAGTCACCTCCGCGTCTCACATCGAAACGTCAAGGTCAGACCAGCGTCGCAAAAACGATAACGCCGAGGTCAGACCCGCGATGCAAAGACAATAACGCCAAAGTCATAGCCGCGTTTCAAGTCAAAATACCGAGGTTAGACCAGCGATGCGAAAACAAAATGCCGAGGTTAGACCAGCGAGTTTTAAACAGAACGCCGAGGTTACACCCGCGTCTCAAGTTCAAAATGCAGGGTCCACCCCCAACATTCCAGAAGCAGGATTATGACGCATACCTTCACAAAGGTCCTACGTGGCAAATCCCTTCAACCAAGATGCCTTCAAAGCAAGTGCAGAGAACGACTCCTTTACGACAAGGAATCAACAGCTCCAGGATTAGAGTGAGATCCAAAGTATTCCGAAAATTCGTCCCAGTCAACCGCGAACTTTCGAAAACTTTGGAGGGGGTTCTGTAGGCTGTCTAAAAATCACAATAGAAAGCTTATCCCCCATCAACCACCGATGATGGAAGTTACAATCTGACGACTTCCAGAAGGCTACAATTCGAAGATTTTCACATGTCAAAGAGTTAAAGCAAAGATTACAAAACGACAGTCTTTAGCAATACTCTGACAGAAAGGATTACAAATCGACGATCTCTTCAAACCAAGACGTGGAAGTCCTCCCCGCGTACCATCATCAAGACACTACACCGATTCAATCACCTACGCCGCTTCAACAGCTATAAACACGAATGCAGCTTCTTATGTGAGATGATTGATCTTGATGGCTGCGACAACAACATGACTAATATTATATTAGCAACCATTAGAGGTGCTGATGAGCAGTGTAATGATATTCGACACACTCAGTGGAGATCATGACCTGCAGTTGATAGAGCGTTATTGAGATGCCTCAATTGTCACAAATGGCCTGAATAAGACCTTCTTTACTGGTCTTTGGTGTCATCCATATATAAAGACAGAGAAATCTAAATACTACAACAATCAACAGCTCGAACGCAGCTCCAATCGCTGCCAAGCACAGCTCGAACGCAGCTCCATCGCTGCCCAACGCAGCTCCATCGCTGCCCAACGCAGCTTATCAAGATCTTCGGTTCAAATCAACTCTTTTTCAAGAGTTCAAACTCGATCAGAGTTATCAACTCATCAAGAGTTTTAAACTTGCCATGCAAGTTCTCCACAACGTCAAATCGTGAGGAGAAGATATCGTTCCAGTGAAGCAAAACATCGGATCGTCAACGGAGAGCAATTTCGATGCGAGCAATCGAAGGAGGCATTCCATCGCCACCGTGAAGAACCCAGTTTTAAACAAAGGAGAGAATCAAATCCGTTCTCTCCTCTTTTGTAATCAAGTTGTAATCGAGGTCAAAGGAATCCAAGTCAATTTTCTTTATTCTCTTCTTTGCAATTTTTCCCACAAACAGTCTTCTCTTTACCTTGAGTAGTATTTGGATGTCTGTAAGTATTTTTTGACGCCTACAGATACCCCCTCCAAAGTATCTCAGACTCATCATTTTTGAAGAGGGGTCTGGGACACTTTGGATATGATAAGCTTTCCTTGCAATTTCTTTAGTACTTTGTTTAGGAAGTTACGTAACATAGTCTGTGGATGGCTTCAATTCTTGACTTCTTCATCTTTTAGCCTATTCAGTACTTTGTAGAATAGCTAAAATTCCTTCGGTAAACGCGATCGAACTAGCTTGACCAAGTTTAATCCGAAAAACAATTTTCGTCCAAAGTCTAAATTTGATACCTAGACATGAAACTCCCCATAATTTTCGTCTTCATCTTCATGTAAACGCGATCGAACTAGCTTGACCAAGTTTAATCCGAAAAACAATGAAAGGCACCATGGCTACCAACGTTCATAATATCTTCAAGTTCACAAAGCAAACACATGATACATTATTCTTCTCATTCTTACTCTAAACGTCCTACATCCAAACACCCACAGACTGAAGACAAATCAAGCAGTTACCGATCAGGAAGCGAAGCACCAATGGAGAAAGCAAGGTCGCTGATTTTATAGGCATCGTCTACTTCTTCAGGCATCAGAGGCTCCAGCTTCGACTCGGCCCAAGCAGACACGCACGTGAAGGCGTTGGTCAATAGCGCACTCGAACGGCTCTTGACCGTGAGAAAATCGCGAGACTTGAGCGCTTCAGTCATTTCCTTGATGTCCTCAGCGCCCTTGTTGTACGCTTCTTCACAGACACCCAGAGCCTTTTTGCTCTCCGCTGACACGTTTTTACTGTTCAGCAACTCCTCCACTTTGGCAAGGTTGTGTGTGATGTTGGTGTTCGCTAGGTTGGCTATTATAGAGGTAAGACCTGATTTTTAAAAATAAAAATAAAAAATTACATTGATGGATATCTCGGGTGTGTATCGGGAATTAACCCTAAAATTAATAACAGATTAAAAAAGTGAAGAAACCACTACTTCTACTCTCATCCATTGGATGTTATCTAATGGACGAGATTAAAAGAGACATTGCATATTAGTAATAGATTTATGAGACAAATTCCTTTATTTTCTCCGACTATATATATGTTTCTTTTCTTTTTTCTTTCTATCTTTCTCGTCTCTTTCTATCTTTTTTGCCCTCATTTTTTTCCTAGAAATATTTTACAACTACCTTTTTATATCTATTTTGCATTAAAAGTTGTAATTATTATCTATTATAAAAAATCATCGTTTAGTTTCATTTCACCGATTTGTTTTTAGCGAAAACTACAACAAATTTTTATTGTTTTCTATTAAGCTTGTTTTATCTAATCTTCGGATTAAAATTCTCTATTTTAATTTACCAATGATATATTTTATAAAAAAAACAAACTTGTAGGCATTCCACAATAAAAATATAGTCAATAGATTGTTTTCTCACAAATTGAAAATTAGACATGCCTTTTTCGATTAGAATAGAAAATCAAATAAAAATATTAGAATGAAGTAGAGATAAGAAAATCAAATAAAAAGAAAAAGAAAAATAAATCAGAGTAAGAACAAGAGACGGAGAGAGGAGGAGAGTGGAGGCCGAAATTTGGAAAGAAATAGAATATATAGGAGAAAAGCAAGGAGTTCGTTCGAGGAATTTGCTCCTACATATAATGATGAATATGCGAAGTTTTCGTTTAATCTCATCCATTAAAAAAAATTCAATGGATGATTATAGAAGTAGTGATCTCTTCACTATTTTTTTAGTAGCGGAGAGGATCTAAATCCATTTGTCGGCCTTCTTCTAAAAAGTAAAAGAGTAAAAAGGAGCTGGCCGGGTAATGAGAACTTCTAAAGAGGGACGTAGAAAAAGAATATATTATACCTATAGCGTCAGCTTTATTACTTCCTGGAACAACCTGAAGAGTTGTTATACAGAAGTTGACGTCAAAATGAACGCCTGCACGAGCTGCTAATTGCTTGCATGTTTCTTCGAGAGTGGCGTCAGCTGATAACAAGTTGAGGAAGAGGAGGGCAACAATGAGAGAGGGAAAAGCCTTCATTTTTCGTCTTTTTCTTTCTTTCTATTTTATTTTTTGCGTAAATTTTAATTGAGAAGACCTGGCTATATTATCTGGGGTCTAGCCTTCCTTTGGTATCTAATTAATGCGTATATAGGTGCATATTTGCTAAGTAAATAAGCATGCGTCTTTCGCTCTGTAAACATTCCATGAACGATTTGAGCTAATCAAATAATAAGAATAAATTCCTCCCATTAATACTAACCATTTATTAGTAAATAAACATGCATATTTTGCCCTGTATACATTCCATGAACGGTTTGAGCTAAATAATAATAAATTCCTCCCATTAATACTTGCCATTTATGTGGTAAATATATTCATAGTAAATTAACTCGGAAATATTCATGTAATCAACAAGTTTTATCATGTTTGCGTGACTTTGTGAGAATGTGCACCACCTTGCAACGAAACAAATTTAAATTCATGCATGCATGTCGAATTCTTCAAATGGAGCCAATTACTTCCAAATGACTACCTCACTTTTTCTTTCAATCATGGACATCTAGTTTTACTTGCTTTTGATCTGATTATTGTTCCTTTTGTCTTTTAAACATTTTATTTTGGGAAAACTTTTTGAGTAAAACTAAAACTTGCTAAGAAAAAGTCAACTTCCTAAAAGTTCTTGGACTCAAGCAACC